GTAGACAGAACCTTGCCAGACTAAATCTATACTACTGCAACTAGTGGATACACCCTGGGAGATTCTAGAAAGTGGCTATCCTGAACCTCTTATATTTCCTACGTTGCACCTCCGGACTGTGTTGTCTTTTGTCACCCTTCCCTTCCTGGAATGCACCCCTCCTTCCTGATAGCCTTGCTCTCTGCTGAAATCCACCACATCACCCTCACGTTTGTAGATACATTCCACCACAGAGGACTATCAGTTTTACTTTCTGGTCTAGCTTTCAACCTTGGGATTTCCTGGAAGTCTCCCATCCAATATCTATTCATTTATTTATTCATACATACATACAACTTATATAGTTGCCCATCTCGTGACTTTATGTGGAGTACCAAAGTTAAAATTTAAAAAATAAATAAATAACACAGTTACATGTGCGCCATGCTATATCATATCCTTGGGGTAAAAAAAATAAAAGCATTCTAGTACAATCACTGAAGCAATAACTAAACAACTAGCCAGTGGGGCTCACCTGGCCCAAATGCCTGTACATTTAACGCCTTGCAAAAGGCCACAGGGTTGGGGCAACAGATCTCTGGGGGAATGCTGTTTCACAGGGCAGGCACAGTAATAATCAGTTCTGATCTTGCTTAGTTTTTTTCCAAACTATTATGCTGCTGCCTATAGGAAGAAATTAACATCCTTATTCTGTGTTTCCAAGATAAATCCTGTATTTGGACCTCCTATTTCTACTGGGAGCAAATCTGCCATTGGCAATCAAATGCACGTTTCTCAGAAGTACATCCTACATCTACTCGCCAGGTAGTAAGCCTTGTTGAACTCAATGGGACTTACTGTGGATAAAATAAGAAGATGGTACTGTTGGTCTTGTTTGTATCAAAACTAACCAGAAATGTCCTTTAATCAAAATATGCTATATAAATACAATCAAATCCAAATACTGAAAAGACTGGAAAGTATTCAATTCAATATTCAATCTTGTCATTTCAGTGTTCACCTGAATGTGAAAATAACAATATACCCCTTTGTAGCTTTATGGAAATGGTTTGTAGTGTTGTTTATATAAATGTTTGATTTCAGCAATAAATCAGCATCACAAAATTTATTCTGAATGCTAAGAGAATGGGACAGAGCAGCTAGAATCAAAGCACTTCTGGAAAAATGTAAATACACTTTTATTGTGTTTTAATATGCACAGCTGCTCATTTGACATTTCAGAACACAACTACCAGATCAAAAATGTGGTTTCTAGGCAAGCTGGAATCACAGCCCATAACTTAAATGAAGTGGCACAACACTGAGAAGCTGCCTCAGACCTTAACCGAAACTTTGCAAATGACCTTATGCCCATAGAGTCGCAATTTAAAAACCAAACTTTCAGCAAATATATTGGAAAAGAACCTAATGGCTAAACACTGGGGAAAAAATGAATAGAGATAATGCAAATACCTCCTGGTTATCCTTATTATGGTTTCCCCAGAAAATCTTGTTATAAAGGCATTCCATTGAGTTGCTAGAATCTGAACGATCAAAGCAGTGTCTATCCAAAACCTCCAGTGTGTGCAAAACACGGCTGATAGTAACCCCTGGATGAAAGGAAAAAAGAGAAAAAAAATGATGGTACATTCAGTCTGTGACATCAAAATTATTACAATTGGTTGAAAGAAAATTGGTATCTGTGCAATGTTCCTACAATAGGGCTTTCAGATTTTAATACTTAAAGAGGAATTTGAACCGATTTTACAGCTTTGATTAGAGCCTTCCTCTTTTCCAAAACTTTATTCTGGTTCCTGCTGCTTGAATCCTAACTTTTTAAAAAATCTTCTATCATTTTTAAAGTGATAGATTACTTCTTTGTCTAGAGGATCCTATCTGTGTGTTGTTTGATGGATCTCCACTCCACATACTTTTTTCTAGATTGTGCCTTCTTCCTTTCATCGCCAACCTATCTCTCTCTCTCCCTCTCTCTGCCTGTCCTAAGTGTTCCCTATTTCTTCATTAACTGCTACAGAGATGACAAGGGTTTGAAATGTGTTGATAGCTATAAAGCTAGCATTATTGCAGATGATAAACTTATTAGGAACTTAACTGAATCTATAAGCTAAGCTTCTCCAACCAGTGCTCACCATATTTCTTGGGCTACAGTTCCTATAACTCCCAGCCAGCATGGATAAATAATGGGATTTGGAATCTAAGACACTGGAAGGTACCACATTTGGGGAAGCTGCTATAGCATAGAAACCTTAAGAACCCTAAGAGCGTTAACTGAATATTATCTTGCACAAACTTTCAGAAAACTTTAAATGGCATTTATGAAATAAATTTTTGAGCATGAGTGCCTGTTCAGTTCAAGGGATAAAAACTTATCAGCGGATTGCAGAAAATACATTTTCTCTGGACACACTTAAATGGAAGAGTTTGTACAACTAGAATGTGGTCTCCCAAAGATTTCTGCTGTTTCCAGTTATATGTGAGAGTAGTGTACGAATGAGACTTGACTCTGAAAAGTGGAACAGAAGTCTCTTGGGAAAATGCACAAAAATACTGGAACAATAGAACAAAATGTATCCTTCAAAAAGTTGGTCTGCTTACCAGAGGAGAGCTTTTCAAAGGAAGGAAAAGAAAGATAAACGGATACATTCCCAGACTTCTTTCTCCTTTTTTCCTTAGGGACAAGCCATGGTTCTTAGGACCTCAGGGCTACAAAAGTAAATCCAGCTTTCTATTCACATCAAAAAAATCCTTCCAAAAATAATCTGGGCGTAGTGTTCCAACAAAAATTCCAAAATATGACAAAATAAGCAGAATTTTTTAAAAAAAGAGGCCAGGCCAGATGCTCACAATTTTTCCTTCTGAGAAGGCAGGCAGCTTTTTTCACTGATGTTTCGATACGTGGACAAGCAAAAATGGCCACTTCTAATTATCACTTTTAAAGCAAGCCCCCATCCCAAATGAAGGAAAAAAGATGGCCTCAAGTGAAGTTCAAATCCTGGTGAGTAAATGCACGTGTGTGTGTGCACGTGAGCACACACGTATGCAGTTCTCTTAGCAATAGTACAGAAGTGTTTCCCATTGCCTTGTTCTGAGATGTTTCCTTTCAACTTCCAAGTCTACCCCATAGCTCTGGAGGTTTCCTGTGAAACAGTCTCTAACCAGACCCAGATTAGCTTCCAAGCTCAAGCAAGGTTGGTGAGGAGCAGACACCTCTTGAGAAGCACCATACAAATTGGCATTATTGTTTGCCTCTTGGCAAAGTCCTGCCAAGTAGTGGGGAAGAAATTTATTTGGATGATTATGATAATTATGATGATGATTTTTGTCTAAATGAATACCACAGTCTAATCATCCAGGTGTGGGTTCCAATTATTCAGGTCTAGAATCACTGGGATTAACACCTAGATCATTAGAGTGTGATATTCAGACTCATGGAAATATCACTATGCATAACAACAACTATTACTACTATTGCAACCATTGTTTATCTTTAGATACAGTTTGTCTCAAACCCATGACAATATTTCTGAGGAATCTGAAAAATTGGCATAAAAGTAGCAACAACTATTTTTGCAAATACTCCTTCCAGACCAGCTCATCTTCCACACTCAAATGGACAATACCAATATATTTAGATTCGGGCTTTAATCCAACACTCAAAAGCAATAAATGGTAAGTAAGATGTAGTTACCACTTAGTTTTAAAAGTCAATGAATTTCACTGAGTGAAACACAGATCAATAAAGCCTTATGGTTTTTGCAACCCATTTTGGTCTCTACCTGCAGTTGATTCTTGGCACTTATCAAATGACCACCTTACTTCCACAGCACGGCCCCTTTGTTTGATCTGCTGTTCTACTTCATAAATCTTTGCACGAACCTATAAAGAGATGTTCCTAGTTAGTTGCTAGAAACACCCAATCTAAAATCTGTGTCAGATTTCTCTGCAGCTAGAAAGCAACAATTACACAATACATAATTACATAATGCATAATAAAAGGAAGCTATTGCTGGCTGGGCCAGAGCATGAGGGTACACATTTGAAAAATAAATGAATAAGGTATAGACAAATCACAGGAAATGGGAAAGTAATATACTCCCCCTTATTTATTCTTGTAACTTACAACAAAATAGCCTATTTGTCTGAAAAACCTTAACATTCATCTTCCTGAAAGTTCAAATCACATTTGTTAGCATTTGAAAGATAAGACACTACCTGTTAACCCATCATTATTCCTCTGCTGTAAAGCAACAAGCAAAATCCATTTGCAACAGTTCAGGGGAAAAAAATGTATGCCCTGCATTCTGCTCAAACTTACAGACATGGTATTATTTACATAGGCAGAGCAGGGCTAATCATCTCAATATGCCATAGAACTGTTCAATGTTTTTAATCAGTTTTTTAAATCTTTTAAAAATATACAGTATTGTGCAATTATTTCAATATTGTTGAAAACAGAACGTAAAGTAAAAATCAAAATCAAAACACAGTGACTTGAAAGGCTGCATATTTTTTCAAACATTTTAATATGAATATTGTTCATTGATTACATTTATATCCTGACTATTCTCTAGGAGTTCAAGGAGATGTATATTATATCTACTCATTTACCCTCATAATAGCCATCTTGTGAGGTAAGCTGTCCTAGGAGCTCTAAACATTTATCTAAGTGTAACTAACTCTTAATGTGGGAGCCAGTGTAGAAGTAGTAAATGTGTTGAACATAGAGCAGGTAACCCAAGTTTAAATCCTCAGTCAGACTTTGGCTCAGTCGCTCTCTCAGCTGAACCTACCTCAAACAATTCTTGTTGTGGAGATAAAATGAGGGGAGACACCCATGTAAGTCACTTACATTGGCTAATTGACATACCTTCTTCATAATCTGCTGCAAAACTATGTTAATAATTCTTTTAAAGATTGTTTTCTAATTAAATGTTAAATTTGTGTAAAAAAACAGCCAACATGGGGCCAACAGAAAAAAAAATTAATCCCAAATATCTGGCAAAGTACAGATGTATGATGTCTGGCTTATCATTCAATATTCCACTCTACATAAAAGCTACTAAAACAACAGTTTGATGATGATGTCATGGAGCTACTTCATTAAAATTGAATGAGCAAAGGTATTTCATAAGTCCTTCTTGTGGAAACAGCTTTAGGATATCACTACTGCCTTAATTCACTACATAGAGGTTGATGTCTTCAAAGATTTTGACATTCACTTTAATGAGGAATACAACTGCACTGATATTAAAGATGCACCCCACCCCTTATAAATGGTGAGGCTTATATGCAGTATTTATGTTTTATTTAAATTTATACAATATTTGTCAATATTAGAAAGGGCAAAGGACTTGTATGGAACACTGGAACCATATGACCAATCAGAGCCATTCCATTGCATTTGAGATTCAGGATGTACGCACAACATTGGTGAAATGGTATCGTCACAGCCATAAGAGTTAAACATGTTTATATGAGGTATTCTTTTATATAAATATTCTAACATTCCCAGAAAGTCCATTTCCAATACCATTATTCTGCTCTTTTTCTACATTTCTACATTCCCATGAAGCAAACAGATACAGTCCCTTCCTATATAAATATATGGATCCTTAAGAAACAGGGAAAGGTGACACGTGATTGAAGATATGGCCACTAGCTATGTAAAAATTTAAAAGACATAATTATTTAAAAGCCAAAAATTTTAAAGACATAATTATTTAATTTTTCAGCAAAATGGATCCTTCATCCTTCAAAACTACCTGCTGATTGAATACAGAATTTCCTCCTGGCATTGGTAAGCTAGATGGAGCAACTTGAAGTAAATCCAGAGGTGAACCAGGGTTTATGTTTTTACTTTCATTTGTAGAATAATTCCACACCAAGGCACTTGGGCAACAGAGAGTTATAGTCTGAAATAGAAAATACAGGAATTGAAATTATGTGATTAGATTATTCAATTTTATAGAAACCAGTAAACAAATTCTTGGTAAAAATTATTTGGCTTTATTTTTTAAAAAGTACATGGGATTTGTTCAAAATGTCTTTGTATCTCTTTCATTAATTTATCAAGAAATAGATTGGTTTAACACCTACACAATTCAAGAAAGAATATGTATGACACACTACAGTTCAAAATACAAAAGCTTAAAAACTTTTAAAAATTAAACGTTTGCTCCTTTGAACAAAACAGATTCTCAAATTGAAGCAAAACATCAGAATGGATTAAAAAATGTTTCCTGTTTCCCCACCCCT